TAATTAATACTAACAAATTAAATAAAATTTGTCGACACATTATCAATAAACTAAAAGATTCGAAAAGACATTTTTTTTCACATTTTTTATAATTTATTATGGATATATTTTTTATAATAATTGTCAATTTATCAAATATCTCTTCTCTTACCAAAATTATTTGAAAAATTATTCAATCAATTACTTATTCTACTACCATTACAAGTTAGTTTATCTAATTATTTTTATTTTTCAAAATTTCAAAAAAAAGGGAGAAGTTAATTTGACTGTTAAATGAATGTTTGACTAAATAATTTATGATGATAGAATCATTAAATTGATACGGTATGTGATAAAAATTGTTGAGAAATTTAAATAAAAATTGATAGTTGCGAAAAATATTTGAGAATTGTATGATCTGATAAGCAAACAATAGAAATATTTCAAAAGGAAAAGAAAGAAGGATGGAATTTAATGCAAGTTGAAAACATCGTGATAATATTTATCATAAAACAAAAGTATGAAAGAGAGAGGAAAAAAAAGAAAAACAAAGATACAATGTAAAAGATAAATGCAAATTGATTCATAGTTTAGCAAGAATATCACAGTAAATAGCCGAGTTTTTTTTTGTCAATTTTCTGCTTAGAAAATGGAAATAAAAAAAAAGAAAGGGTGAAGGAAAAGATTTAGAATGATGAATTGAAATGAAATGAAATGAAATATTATTTAAAACTATCACCATCATTTAAATATAAGATAATTTATTCAAAATAAAATATTGATCATTGTTGTTTGAAATTTCATATTTTTATTTTTTTAGGAACATAGTGGACAAAAAATGATAGTAATATAATATTTCCTGTTTATTTCATTTTCTTATTAATAACTTGATTTCTATTATATTTATTTAAAAAATTCCTTCTACATTTCATAACTTTGAGCATTTAAATTTGTTTCCCAATTTAGTCAACTATTAAATATAATAAAAATTGTCTTCTTCATCATGCAACAAAATAATTGAAATTAAAGGTTAATTAGTCGGTATTTCATTCAATTTTACAGTTCCTCTTTTTCATTATATTTGTAATCGTAATTACTACATTACATTAAAATATAAGTTGCAAGATTGTATATAATAAAAATTAAAAAGTGTCGACATTTCATTATTTCTTTCTTCTAATTAAAAACTAAAATTTTTCTTCGGTTCGCTTTTACTTTAAACCATCAAAAATTTGATAAATATATGAATCATAACGAATTCTCAAATGTATCTTAATTTTTAATTTGCATATATACTTGAATATACATTTTCTTTGCATCATTTTTGCTATTTCGATTTTTTGCTATAATCAATTTGCACTTTCCAAATTTTAATTTAATAAATATTGGTTTATAGAGAAATAAATGCTGGTCGATAATTAACAAATTAGTGAACAAATAATAAAACATGTAAACAATGAAGCAAACAAATAAATAAATGACACTTTACAATTTTTTTCCTTTTTTTAACACAAATTATTCGAATACTTTGTTATATCTTAAATTAAGATAACACACCACCACCAATTGTCTTTCTTATCAAATGATAGCATCTTGTTGATTTATCTGAATATCATGTCAAGAATGATATCAAGAGCTGCTGTCCTCTTTTTCTCCTTCAAGGATAACAATCCAACACATTCAATATCTATTTGATTAGTGTAATATTTCGCTTTTTTTTTAAAAATGAAATTTCCTGCATTTATTATCTTATTTTCGCTCTAATTTTATTTGTACAGTTATTAACAATAAATTGGAATAAATAAAAAAATATTAATTCATCCCACATTTCTCTATCAATTTATTATATACAAACCTCAATTCTTTTTTTTCGTAATTTCAAATCGCATTGTTCCTTAAAAATGCTTTATTTACTTTGGATCTTAATTCAATCTACTCAATCAATCATTGCTTTACTATTTTGTTTGAAAAAAAAGTTGTCATTAATTTTTTTTGCAGTTATAAAACATAAATAATCATTAAAATTTTTCCTAATGCTCTATTTTCGATCAATAATTCATATATAAACTGATATACAAAAAAGTAATCAATAATTTATATACAAATTAATACATAAGAAATAGTCGATAATTTACACACAGATTTTTCTCCAACTTCAATTTTTTATTTTTCAACTTTTTCCACTGCCTGACAAAGTTAATGATCTAAATTGCTTCAATTTATCACTCTTCTCCAAAACTTTTCACCAAGCAAGAAATGATGCAAAAAGGAAAAACGCTACTGCAACTTTTTTTCTTCGCCTACACGTAAAATCTCGTAAGTCACGTAAATTTTGTCTTAAAAAAAATTTCCTAAAATTTTGCTACAGCATGCAGAAGCAAAAATTCAATTTTCTATCATTTCATCATTTTATTTCTTCTTATTCAAATGAAATTCATTTGTGAAATATGACAAATACACATGGAGGAAAAAAAATTTAAGATAAACTATAAAATTGTTAAGACAAAAAAAAAAAATTTTTAGAAATTATTCAAAAAGAAATCGTTTTTTTTTAAACAAAAGAATCAAATTTGTTTTTTATGCTTATGCTTATATCAATTTCGAATAAAATTTATGGAATTGTGGTAATGGATTTTAAAGCAATAAAAAAAACGATGAATTCGTAGATAAAATGAAAAGGCGCGCAAAAATTTTCACAATATTACAACAGCATTGAAATACATTTTTTTAATCTTTTTTTTGCTCGTCGCGCATTTTCATTGGATTTTTTTTTGTTTAAATTTTTTGGGAAAAAATGATTTATTTTGTCAGTTTTTTTTTCAAAAATGTTTTATTATTAAAAGATAATTATATTTGTTGCATTCGATGATGTCATATCGAATGAAATATATTCTCATTTTCATATAATAGTATAATCGGTAGCATGTCGAGAATTATTTTCACGACAATCAGTTAATCTGATCCACGAGATGCATCAATGGATGCTAGCATATTCAATTAATTTATTCAACGATTTTGATTAAATTATTGCAATTTCTAACTAAAAAGACGATCACACTTTCAACTAATAATTCACAATGATATTTTTTGAAGGATAGCGAGATTATAATTTTCTATGAATTATAATTTTTGTAAAAGAATTTTTAAAAGCTTCATAGAAATAATCTTTTTTTCTAATTGGGTGTTCTTTTTCATTATTTACGGCATAACCTATTGATGTGAAATTTAAAAATGAAGTGAATAGAAAGGCGAAAAGTGAAGAATTAAAGATAAAATTTTTGCAAAAGAAGCAAAAAAAGAATTTCAATAACGCTAAATAATATTTGCTGAAGAAATTTGTTGTGAGGAACAAACAAAAGTAACTTTTACTTTTGGAATATCAAAAAACGAAATTATATATTGTTAAATTTTTCTTCTGTATTTTTCGACCCAATAATTGACAGATAAAATTACTGATTTGTTTCATTTAAATCAATAATTTAATCAATATTTCACGACTCTTATCATTACTATACAAAGTTGATTTATTTTTGTGGTGATAATAATTAAATGAAAGTAACAGAGATAATATTTGTAAAATAAAATCAAATGGTTTCAAATTAATAATTCATATATTTAATTACACACTTATATAGTGTTTATTTTTTTTTTGTTTTAGCTTCTTTCTATTATTTGAGTAATATTATTTATCATTACCTCCTTATTA